CTCCTCAGACTCCACCTAGCCCCTGCTTACCCTTACCACTGGGCTTGCCAGGCACAGAGAGGGCTGGGGTGGGGAGTGGGGTGGAGGAAATCCGTGTAGGTTGAAACCCAGCAAACAGCTCTCTATTGAAAAAGCCGGGTGGCTCCCTTTATTGAGCCCTGGTAGCTCGGTGGTTGTGCTTTGGGCTGCTAACCTCAAGGTCGGCAGTTCAAAACCACCAACTGCTCTGAGGGAGAGAGACCGGGTTTTCTACTCCTGTGAAGAGTTGCATTGCAGTCCACACTGAAGGCTGCAGTCCTAAATGTTCACCAGCAAGAGCTCCACGTCTTCCTGCTTATTGCAGCTGGTTCAGAAGCCTTCCTCCAGCCCCCATGCCATTCTCTTCTTAAAAGGCAGCTTCTCCGAGGATTTGCTCAGCCTCCGGGCTGAACAAGTATGGCGAGCGAACATAAGCCTGGTTCACACCTTGCCTGTTTCAAACCATGCGGTATTCCCTTGTTCGGTTCTCACAGTTGCCTCTGGATCCAGCTGTAAGTTCTGCATCAAGGTGTCCTGTTCTGGGATTTCCGTCTTCTCGAGGTTGTCCATAGTTTGCTGTGATCCACACAGTCATCGAATGCCTTGGCGTAGGCCATAAAATGCAAGTGAACAAAATCCTCATAACGGGACCCATGAGTCACATCATGAGACAAGGAGAAACGATTGAAGGTGTCAAGGATTCTGACTTGGGTCCACAATCGATGCTCACAAGCTGTATTGCATGAGGGGAAATCTGCTGCCCAAGACCTCTTTAGAGTGTTTCCCATTGCCTCCTGTGCTTGTGAAAGCCGGGCACTGAGTAAGGACGACGGGTGATGCATCTGCACGGTGGTGCTGGGGAAGATGGCTAAAAGGACAAACGGATCTGTCTTGGAAGAAGTACAGCCAGAGTGCTCCTCACAGGCAAGGATGGCGACACTTTGTCTTACATACTTCAGTCATGTTGTCAGCAGAGGCCAGTCCCTGGAGAAGGACGTCATGCCCGGCAAAGTGAAGCGGCAACGAAAAACAGGCAGGCCCTCCAGGAGATGGGTTGACACCATGGCTGCAGCAAGGGGGTCAGGCACAGGGACATGTGTGAACATGGTGCCGGACCAAGCAGTGTTTCCTTTTGTTGTGCACAGGGTCATCATGGGTCAGCACCCACTCGATGGCACCCAGCAATAAAAACAACAGAGCGACAGTCTCCGAAACCCACAGGGGCAGTTCTGCCCCGTCCTATAGGGTCGCTATGAGATGACTCGGCAGAGG